TCTGTTAAAAACTCAAAAATCTTAGACAAGATTGGTTGCATAAGGACAAGAGTAGCACAAGGAAGCGTGAAAGATAGAACAGGAAAAAGAGAGAGGAGAGAGAACTACAGGAAGACAGAGAAAAAGCCACACTCACCTCATGCATATCTGCTTTCCTGACCCCGGTAAGCAAGGGCTGATTACCACTCATGGTTTAATATTAACCAACAAGAACACTGAAGTTGTTTAGTTGAAGTCCTTGCACTAGGGGACCAATCCAGAGACATCTTAGGTCTTGCACTCTTCTCCCAAATTCTCCAGTCAATCCCATTATCTGTGGCATGGAGGGAGGCAAGAAAGGAAACTGCCAGACCTTTGACAGAAGGGAGTGAACTTTTTCAATTCCTCAGTTCTTCTGTGATCAACCTTCCATGGATATCATTCAGAAGGCACTGAGAAGAGGGCTTTGTACTTTAACAGCAATGCGTGTTTATAACCTTAGAGTCGTTTGCCTTATCTTCCTTACTGTGTTTCATATGATGAAACTTCCTTCAGATGTTACTCCTTCCACAGCCTCAGACTGTGAGTGTGTACGGCTGCATTCTGTGCATATTATTGCAGGAGCTGATACAGATACCAGAACACAAAAAGAGAGAAGGAAAGTTGCTACTATCACTTAACTTGCCTATAATACATTTGTGCTTTTGCTTTTTGCTTCTTTCAAAAGACAGCTGGTCTCCTATTTTGTTTTGAAATTCTGTATCATTGTTTTTATTCTTTTGTTTTTTAAAACAATTTTTTAAAAAGATAGTTCTATTACAGTTAGGGTATCAGCAGGGATTTTTCCTTCTTAAAAGGAAATTTACAAAAAAAAAAAACCTGAAAAGATAAACAAGTATGAGGTAAAATGCAGAAATATGTAGCTCTTTAAACATGATGTTGGAGCTGAGGAAGTAGGTGATGGTGACAAGGGATGGTGACTAAATGTGTAAGACTTCCAAGCCAAACACGGACTTCTCTCCCATGGTCACTACTAACAAGAACCATGGGATTTGATAAGTGATTTACTTCTCCTGAACCCAGTGTGTGCACCCTTTAAATGAACAATATAATGCAGTATGGCATTCTGGGCAATATTTAAAAGATATATATGTAAGTGCTTGGCTTACTGGCTGGCATGTGGAGCAGTATAAACTGCGGGCTGTTTTTTGATGGATATCAAAAGTCTTATTCTTTCACCCATTAATTAACTTCTGGTGATCTATTCTAAAGAGTGGTAAATATAAATTATTATAACAAATGATTTATGAAAATATATACTCATAGTTACATGGGTGCCTGGTTAGTAAAGCAGTAGCCCTGGTGCAGTTTGTGTGAAAGTCGTAGGTTTCTAGGCACACAAGACTATCATCAACAAAAATAGTCAAGACCCAGGGAAAAAAGGTTTTGCATTTGGACCAGTAATTTGCTTAGGACTTGTACTTAACTCAGCTGCTTAGCCACCTTGGTAAACTTGGACTTCTGTTCAAAGCCAGCATGTTCTCGTATGGAATCTCACTTGTTTGCAGAAGTGGGGAGGAGTCTCACGAATGTTGAGCTATAGCACCATGCATAAAAGTCTGTTTTGTGGCTTAGAAACGAAACCTTTACAGGAAATGTGATATGTATGTGACTACTGGGATGAGCTTTCTTCAGTGCCTCACTGTGATGCTATGGAAGTGAACGTTTGGTACCTAAGGAAGTCAGAGACGGAAAATAAGCCATGGTTCAGTATAGAATTTGCAATATAAATTCCAATTAGCTTGTATAATGTAGCACCTGTTCACAACTTATGCAGTATTTCAGGCTTTCGCTTTACCCACCCACTGGAATCGATCCAAATTTATGGCTCAGCTGAGCTCATAGATCCCTTTTTCAAGTTTCCCGTAAATTTCTAATATTGAAACTTACTCTGTGAGTCTAAAAAAAATTGGTCCCAGTCTTCCTTGACTTATGCATAGAATCATTGTCTTGGTTACTATTTCTCTCTTTCCTGAGATACAATACCTGATGTGCAAAATGGAGGAAGAAAAGGTTTATTTAGCTTACAGTTTTTGGAGGTTTCAGTTCATATTCAGCTGCCTCCAAGGCAGGATGGCAAGGTTAAAGGGGAAGCTGCAAGCAACGAGAGCAAACAGGGCAAAAAGGGGCCAAGCATGCCTCCTCCTCTCTCTTATACAGTATGCCAGCTACCCGCCAATGGGTGGGTGCAGCATTTACACTGACAATTTCAGTGCTAGACCCCAAACCAAGCACAAATGCTAGCTTCAGGCTCCTCCACAACTACATGAGGCTTAGGGGACCCTTCAAACACAAAATATAACATTCCACCCTGGGCCCCCAAAGACTCATACATATCCTTTAGACAAAAGACATTTAGTCCATCTCTAAGACTTTTGAAAGTCCTAATAGTTTCATCCTTTTTGAAAAGTTCAACTCCCAAGTCTCCTTTGAGATCTAAGGCAAACTCAGCTGTAAACCTATTACAAATGAAAACAAAGTTAAACACTTCCATCATACAACATAAACATTACCATTTTAAAAGGTACAAACGGGATACAAAGTATTTGAACCAAAACAAGTCCAAAACTCGAGGGTAAATATTAAGTCCTGCAGTTCCATGCTTAGCATCTGAAGCAATCTGGTTATGAGCTCCAAAGTCTTGAGTGACTCCACTCCCATGGGACTTCTGGTGGTTGTAGGTCCCAGAGCATCTCCCTTAGGTCCACTTTGCTTCTTTCTTTGTGGGTTTCCTTAGATGACCCATGTTCCTAGCTTTTTCATATTTCTGGGTTCTACATTTTACTTTTGGCTTCACACACACAGCTTCACCCATTGTCCTCTCAGGGGCACACTGCCTCGCCTCCCAGGCCTTCTAAAATTGGGTTGGAAGCCTTTTTAACCTCAGAACTCATGCTTTCTCCATGTGCCTAAACCAAGTGCCATGTAGCCAGTGCCAGCTGGAGCAGAAGCCACGCTTTCTTCTCTCTTGGTTGTAGGGGTCAAATACCTGGATCACTGGGAATTCTGAATCTGATTCTGAGGAGAGATTCTCTCAGCGTTCTAGAACCTGGTGTGGTCACTACCACCATTCTGGAATATGGTACTCTGTGGTTTTCTCCTCTAAGCAAGTCTTTCACTTGGAGCTACAAAGCATGGGGACCCTGCTGCTTCCTGTGATGCCCTCAGGACATCTTTTTTAAATTCTATGTTCCTTCTCAGCCATTGAGACGTCAGGTCTGTCTTTATAGTCTACAGCTTTACTGGAGCTTGCTTTCTGGCCAAACTGACACTTTAAAACACCCTGCTGGGCTCTTTGCTCTTGATTCTCAACATATACCTGGCTAAAACCCCCAACAATAGCCATGTCACCCCCTCAACATTTGACTGCCTAGAAATTTCTTCTACCAGATTAAATTAATCTACTGCCTTTAATCTCAGTCTCAGGCAAAGTCTCTGGACACTAGGAAAATGCAGACAAAATTTCTGCCAAGTCATAACACGCATCATCTGGAGTCCAACAACCATTGCAGCCCTTCCCTGCAGAAACTTTTTGAAAGTAGTCTTTACCAGAAGGGTTTTTGTCTGGTCTCTTGAGCTCTGACAAGAATCTCTCATACAGAACGGCCTAAGCTGCTCCAGCTCTACTCTCTCAGGCAATAGTTACATCTCCAAACATGTCCATACTTGTCCCACAAACAATTTCCAAAGGGCCTTGAACCACATGGGTATATTCACAACAACCTCACTCCTGGTACTAAATTATGTCTTGGTTACTTTTTCTCTCTTTCCTGAAACAAAATACCTGATGCCAAAAATGAAGGAAGAAAGGTTTATTTAGCTTATGGTTTTGAAGATTTCAGTCCATATTTAGCTGGTTCCAAGAGAGTGTGGTGTGGCTAAGGGGTAGTTGTTCATGGCTGCTGCAAGTGATAAGAGTGAAAAAAGCAAAAAAGAAAAGCATGACTCCTTTCCTCCCTTATATTTATGTCAGCTACTGACTCTTGGGCCACCTTGAGTCACCACCAGTTCTTGTGCTAGACAATGAACGAATTACAAACGCTAGACTCAGCCACCTCCATGACTGCATGAGACTTGGGGGGGGGGCTTCCAAACACAAACTATAACAATAATATTTAGTATTCTTCTTGGTTCTGTTCTAGACATACCCAATATCCTCCAGGTTTGGTCCTGTCATTCTGTTCTACAAGTACTGTTATTAAATTGACCACATGACCACTGTCACTCCACTGCTTGTCTGTCTGAACAACATTTATAGAACCCGCACCAAAGGGCTTTACAACTCTGTTTCTGTTTGCTGTCCACATTACCCTCGCTGATCTTTCCTGCCCCAGCATCTGTGCAGAATGTTGAGCTCCCTATCATTGTCCATCAATGCCATTTTGTTTTTCTCTCTAAGCTTTTGCACACAGTGTGCTTTGGTGTGAAAATGTCAACCAGGGCACACTCTCTCCTCTTCATTACCATCTCCTGCACCAACATCCCCCCAGGTGAAACCTCTGCTTGTCTAATGATTTCTTTGACTGTGCTCTTGTACAAGTCACTATCTATCTGCCTTTTATCACACCCCACACTATAAGTAAGGTTTTATATGTGTATCTCTTTAAAGCTATCTCAGAGCTTGGCATGTAGTTGCCTTGACATATGGATTTATGCAGTGAGTGAATGTAGCTATTTTTATATCTTGGGTTCCCTAGAAAATGTTGATAGCTCTATCCTCCACCCTTCCTGAAGTCTCAGAAGGCCCCTTTTACAGATATCATGGTGACCCTTAAAACTGTGGCGAAAAACACTCTTGTGAGTGTATTCGGCAAAGCTGGCATATTGTTTTTGTCTTAAGATCTTGCAACTGAATGTAGAATGTCCTGAAATTAAGGTCAGCTCCAGGTGGTTGTTTATATCAGCTGTCAGATTACAGAATAAAAATGGCTTTTATATGTTTGATTTTTATTGTTTTCCAGGGCAATGTCACTTTTTCCTGCTCTGAACCACAAATTGTTCCCATCACATTTGTCAACTCCAGCAGCAGTTATTTGCTGCTGCCTGGCACGCCCCAAATTGATGGGCTCTCAGTGAGCTTCCAGTTTCGAACATGGAACAAGGATGGTCTGCTTCTGTCCACCAAGCTGTCTGAAGGCTCGGGGGCCCTGCTGCTGAGCCTGGAAGGTGGAATCCTGAGACTTGTGATCCAGAAAATGACAGAACACACAGCTGAAATACTCACAGGTACCACCTGCTGGCTCCCTCTGGGATGCTTTCTTTTATCCTTTTTACTTTCCTTTGGGAGGCTTTCTTACTCATCCCTGCAACCAAGGTTAAAATTCTGACTATACAAACAAACAAAAAAATAACAAACAATACAACTCCCAGGTTTCAAGAATGGCCCAAGATTGGCATATTTACTCTGAGTCTGAAGAACCAGCATTTTTCTTTAATCAGGAAAAAGACAACAATGGTGAATTCAGAATTAGCTAAACTCTGTCAAGTCTTCTAATGCCTTTGTTTCTCTGCAGCCTCATTAAAGAAGTGGGAATAGGGCTTCCCACCAAGGAACTAGAGGTCCTGTCTGGAACCAGCATGAGTCACCAATGATCCTCACCAAAGGAAGGGCTCTTTTCTACTTTAGATGAAAAAATGAAGTCATGTGAATAGTTTCTAAATAATGTGTTACGAAGCAATGTAACTGATTTTGAAATTATATTTGCTTCCAAGTCTGTATTTTCCTTTTAAATAATATTATCGCAGGACTTGTACTTGCCCCAAATTCCATATGAAACATAAAAGTTAGTGAACCTTTAAATTGTGCTTTAAAAATATTAAGTAAATGTTAGTGCATATAGCACCTAGCTGTAAACACTTGTTTTAAACCTTCCCCCATTGGCAGAAGTCTCAGGAGTCTGACCACTGATTGCAGAAGACTTCAGATTTCAAGATGGCAGTACAGGTAGCAGGTCTAGAGGCTTCCCTGCTGTCCAGCATTCAGGGCTACAGCAGGCTATCCCCGCTGTGGTGTGGCAGGGCCCTCTCCTTCCTCTTCCTCTAGCTATCCTCCCTTTTCTCCTGTCCTTCAAGCAGCAGTGGGCCTGCTTACATGACATGTGATCACTGTCCCCAGATCGCCAACCAGGTCCTGGGCAAGAATCAAAGGCACTAATCCTATGAGAAATCTTTAACACTGGCCTGCACCAAATCCCCCTATGCTGTGCATGCATGACACCACTAGACACTTTTCTTTAATTTTAAGGTCTTTTTTTCTCCTATGGAACTATCTGTTTTATTATGCAAATACAGAAAAGAAGATTAAGTTAAATATTAAGGTATATAAATTAATGGTTAACTTATGATCAGTCTGTGGGATAGCTTCAAGTGCCAATCAGGGAAAAACAGTCCTGAAAGTTCCTCTGCTTCCTGGGCTGTTGCCCATGATCAACTCCATAACTTTGTTTCCCATGTCTCCTGGATCATATTTGTTAGCAATAGCTGTACAACACCAAAATTTAGTGGTTATAAACAATATTTATTCTGTCTTAATTTCTGTGAGTCAGAAATCCACAGGCAACTTGGTTGTGGCTCAAGGTTTCATAAGACTGCAATCAAACTATTGATCAGGCAGTACTTATCAAAAGGCAGATGATGTCAGTGTGGGAAGTTCTGTGGTGGCTATTGACAGGACTCAGAATATCCACCTCTAAGTTTATCCTCCTGGGCTTTCAGTAGTCTTCCAAGAGACAGTGGAAAGGAGCACATGAGACAGCTGTAGTCTTCTTGTAGGTGTGGACTGAAATTGTATTTACTAGGAACAAGGAAATAAGTCCAGGCCACTTGGAAGTTGAGGGGTTACAGAAGGATATAAATATTAGGAGTATGAATCATTGGGGATGAGCTTAGAGACTGCCTATCAAGAGAGAGACAGACAGACAGACAGAGACAGAGACAGAGACAGAGACAGGCTTCATAAAACCGCGTTGGCCATTAAATGAGATAATATATCTCTAATACTTAAAAGACTGTTGACAAACTATTTAAAATTTTCCTTTCCTCCCTCCTTAATCAGGGTCTACAGTTAAAAGGGGGTTGATTCCACAAGGCCAAAAGAGTTGTGGATGAATATGCACAGTCAGAAGAGTTCTATAAAATGTATTAGATTTCAGTAATGGAAGTCAGTTATTCACCTAGAATTATAATATTTTTCATGCTTACAGTTGTGAAAGGTAAACCTCAGCCCTCCTTATTTGGAGAAGAAAAATGTGAGCTAGCACTGGGCTGTTTTTCTCTAATCGGTGAAATGTTTGAATACAGAGACTTGTAGCCTCAGGTCAAAAATGCAGCTTTAATGCAGTACATGCCCTGGTGAGGCACCACTCTGAAGAATCCAGGTGCTGCTGTATTATTAAGCACATGTCGGTCCATTAAAATGCATTTATGACTGAAATAGAGGCTGCTAAAAGCTGCCACTTCACCAACTATGAAGGGGAAAAATCATCAGTTATTGCAGACCTGTCTCTCAAATATTGAAACAAGTAAAGGGAAATTTTTAAAACGTGCAACCTGAATTCTAGAAGTATGTCTCAGAAAACGCCTACATAAATCTTGCCCCAAGGAAGCTTCCTTGCATTTTGAAAAATTCGAGTTTCTTAATTTGTATTTCAAATGGATCAAGATTTTGTGTTTTCAGGTATTTTTCTACCAGAAATGAAGGGAACAGCAAAAGTCAGTTTGTCTCCCCTTCCAGTTCTAACAAAGCTGGTTTTGAAATAATTTGAGATCTCACAGGCTTCATGAAAGACACAAATCCCATATGAACAACAAGAAACGACAATTATTCCAATAATTTGTGAGGGCCAACTGGGCCTCCCTTGACATGTGTTGTGTGACATAAAACCAAACACAGCAACATATTTCATCAACATCTCAGACAATGCGGACATTTGAAATTGTTGGTGACTAACTCGGGAGTTTGTAGTGTGCTCGTTCTGAAGGTAAAGTTACTTCCTGTGGGATGGACAGCACAAAGCTGCCCAGAAGCCTTGCTGTGTGCCTGCCTTTAGGGAGGTGGTTACCGGGGCTTTCTGCAGCAGGGCTGAGGAAGAGACTTGCAGAGTAAATATGTGTCCTCTAAATAGGGGATTCAGTGTCAGGAAAGTGAAGGACAGAGGTATTTCTAGATTTGCCTTCTCCATGAGGAAAGACTAAGGGCCCAGTTTCACTACAAATGATGTCACAGAGGAGCCAACACCCATGCAGGTCTTCTGCTGCTCAGGTCTTGCTCCAGACCCTCCCCTGCACATCCCAGGGGAAAGCACACTCAGGAAACTGACGAAGTGAGGATTGTGCTGCCGGCTCACACAGAAGGGGATCAAGGATCATGAGATCAGTGGAGGGAGTCACCAAGACAACTGAAGGCCTTTCCTTTGGGTCCCAGTTCACGCCCCTCACACTGTGTCTTGTTGCCATCCAATTCCATTGCTCTTCAGTTCTTTAGCATATAGAAATGTGAGTTCAGCTACTAATGTATATGGTACTTAGGATGTGCTGTTCTGCTTTTCTAAACATTTTACCTGGTGACTTCAATCTTGAGTCAGGAGGAAATCATATAAATTAGGGAGTTCATTGTGTTTATAGGTTGTGGGTCCATTTTTACTAAGATTGTTATCTAATGTAAAATGAATCTTTCTTACTTAGATATCAGCATACACAAATACTAACATGTGGTTTTAACCCATAACATGTGGTTTTAAAATATTTTTGACTTTTGGTATGAATTCTGCCTGAGGATTATTATATCATCTAAGATAAGGATGACTTCTCCTCAGTAATATGAAGTGTTCCTCACTGGATAACTCCACTCCCAAGGACTCTGTTCTGTGATACTCAGCCTCTCCCTTTCTGGTGATCCCATACTCCTCATCTCATGTGCAAATCCAGTAGCTGCCGCAGAACAAAGAATTATTTTAAAGAATCTTGCTTCATAGTGAACCTTGCCATTTGTCCTTTCAAGAGCTGGAAAATCAGTTTTGATAAATATTTTTTTAATATTTCTTTTTGAGACAGCATCTCACAAAGTAGTTAAAAGTGGGCTTGAACTCGCCCAGACTGGCCTCAAATTCTAGGGAACCTCCTGCTTCAGCTCAGGATTACAAGCATGTGCCACCAACCTAGGCTCATTTAGGTAAACCTTAAATGAGCTTTTTAAAAAGGCACTTGGATTTCTAGCTTTATCCATTTCAAACTCAAAATCACTCTCACGATGGTCACACCATCCTGAGGATCATCTGTAATGCACATAGCAGATTAAGACTTTTAAAAATGTGAGAAATGCAGAGCCAAATCACTAAGAAAAAAAGGACATGTTTTTAAAGGTGACAGAGACCATTGCTTTCATTGCCCTAGGAAAGGGATGGGAAAATAGTCTGGACATCATGCAAAACATTAAATTATCTCAAAAGGACATTAGTACTGGCACAATTATTTTGAAAGTTATCTGACATTCATTTTTGTTTTTCTGATGGGACAATTCAAAATAGAAAGAATATGAAAAAAGAAGCATGGGTCCTCAGTCTATTTTTTGTTATAATGTTTTTTAATTTTTTTTTTATTTTAAAGAGATTAAGATAAAAGAGGACAGAACAAATCAGATCAGAACAATGTAAGCAACACAGTACTTTACCACAAGACAACCTGATATTAACAGTAGCTACCATAATATCTCTTTCTTTGAAGTAGTTGAGCTACCTTCACATACAATAATACCAAGCATAACAACATAGTATAAAACCATTCAAGAGAAAGAATTACAGGGCATTCAGAGCCAAATAACCTAAAATGAACAATAGCTACTATATTATCTCATTTTCCATAAAAAATTTGTTTATACTATCACACATATTAAAATCCAATAAGGTACAACATGATAGAACCAATGGAAACAGAAGAACAAAAGCATAGTAGGACTTCAAAGCAAGATGATATTAAATCAGCAATGGCTATCATAATGTCTTATTTTCTTCAGAATAGCTCTTCATACCATCACAGATAACTGGGTTGGGGATTTAGCTCAGCGGCATAAGCACCTGCTTTGCAAGCAAGCAGTATGATTTCGATCCTCCATAACAACAACAAAAAAAATTATAATGTTTTTCTTAAGTGTTACTTCCTCACTAAAGATAGAGTCTGTCAAAGAGCTAAGAGGCAAAACCTGAGGAAGCCTCTTTCATTGGCCCTCATTG